TTGGCCAAACGACAGTCATAAACCTCACTTCCGACCGAGCGGATTGGCCGAAATATTCAGACAGGGACTCATGGGCTGTCAGGGCTGCTGGGCGAGTCAGCTCTAAAACATGTGCGGCAAAGTGGGTGTGTGCCCAAATAGCGGGACTCCAAGAAGAACTGGTTTTCTTACATGGTATCCCTTTATGCCAAGGTGAAGCTTGCTTTCTAAACAACACACAGCCCTATTGATGTATTCACATTCCGTGTTACTTTGGAGTTCCCCATTGCAACAGATGCAAATCTGACATATCAACAAGCTTGCGTGGGAAAACCCGCAACGGCGTCCCAACCCCACCCAAAGTTTTCTTCTTTTTTTTAAAGGGTGTCAGAACAGGCCAAGTGCTGCCGGGCCGCCGGAGCTGGCAGTTTGAGGGCTGACTTGCCGCGAAAAGACCTGCGGCTTGGCGCGTCATACTCACTTCCCCAAACGACCTGGGAATATAAAGGAGGAATGGTTGGGGTCCACCTTCTTCTGCATGCAGCGTTTCTCCCCACGCACACACGGAAACACATACACACACCCACACACAAGGACACACACACAAACACAGACACACAACGTACACAGAGACACAAAACACACACACACATGCACTACACACACAACACACACAACACACACAACACACACCTCACACCTCACACACACACACAGCACACACACACACACACACACTCACGCCGCTCGCGCGAGTGCGCACGCACACACGAGCGCACGCACGTACTCACACACGCACGCACGCACGCATGCACGCATGGACAAAAATAAGCAATTTTCATTTTGCCCGTTAAGAGGCTTTGCAACTCAAATGGTACAACTGTTCGGTGGGAAATCTCACAACGCCTAGACAATTAAAAGGCCTCTGAGCTTGTCCAACCTGCAAACATCACCCGAGGAAAGTCTCTTTGACTGGTTGCCTTTCATGTGTGCAAAAGTTGTACTTTGTATTTGCTACCCTTCCCCTGATGGAAAAGACTGCTCTATTGTTTAGCACTTTTACTGTTTACTTTTCTTGGGTCCAACAGTTTTGCTTGTTATTGGTGTTTTTCTTAACTTCTCCTGGGGAGAACTCAGCAATGCAACACTTCTTTCGATAAAACGGCACCAATGATCAAAATGCAAAATATGTTTTGCCAGTTTGTTTTCTATATTGCCTGAAATGCGCAGGTGTGTGCATCAATATTTACTTGCCAGAAGTAGATAAACAGTCATAGGTTTGGAGGGGATGTTCCACTGTTTTGGGGGTCAAAAGGGCCCACATCTGCATCTGCAGCTACAAGACGCATTCTGACTGTATTTGCATTTGTCAACACAACTACTACAAACTTATTTGTCACACGTTTAATTAGTTCACTACACTGGGAGCAAATTAAGAATTCACAAAGGTCTATATTAAGTCTACCGTCAATTAAGCCCCATATGCGACCATACAATACCTGTCGAAGTCTGATTCCACCTGTCGCTTGTCTCGTTAAAATGTTGAACCGGTCCAGTTGAGAGCGTAAGTTTTATCTTGCCAAATGTTGTAGCTTTAGATAGAATGAGCCGCCGCTAAAACATCTTGACTGAATCTCATGACCTGTTCTTGCATCAATATACCCCTCGCGCTAATTTACTCATGCCCTTCTCTTCCAGAAAGTTGAGCGGTTCATTGTAGGTGCCATGCTAGTGAAGAAGGACACTTCAGCAGGTGCCCCTATAAGATATCGTGTGGGATACCCGCTACCTGCGACAAGTACGTCAGGTATGGTGCCAAATAGAAGTTCCAAGCCCTATTACTCCTGGGTAGGTCTATCCATAGCTGTCTTAATACATGTTGTAGATAGCTTAGGACCCCCTAGTAGTCGTCTGTCAAGGCAACAATTGCTTCAAACATCAACAACATGACAAATCCAATCCATCTGAAGACTGCTGAAGCTTAGGTTTTTGGGTACATAATTTGTTTCAGAATAAATAAATAAATATGAATATATATATATATATACATATATGCTCAAGCCTGGGGGCAAAGAAAACCGGCAGTTAGCCCAGATCCCCAGTCAGTGGAAAAGGGAACCGGGACCCCCTCGATGTTCAAGGAAGGCCGGCCAATGCCTGCTTTGGTGTCCAAAGGCTTTTGTGTCTTCTTGTTCGGGCTTCGATCAGAAAAGGCCGGACTTGACAAACATTCTAGCATGGCGTCCATCCGAGGAAGCGGGGCTGTACCAAAATGGCACCTTGGAAAATGGAACCGACAAAAACCTGAAGCCGCAGCCTACCTCTTGAAGTTTGAGCCACATCCGTATGAAACGGGGACTGGTTGCAAGTTGCAAGCGGACTTCGCGTAGAGCAGAGGCTGCGGTTTGCTGTGGGTTCATTCATTTTGAGCCACACCCACATTTCACCTCAAAACAACAAAAAGCGGGCGCCTCCGGCTCTGAGGGATCCTCTTCGCGCGCCGCGGGCTGAAGAGAGGGGCGCAGGCCCTCGCACATCGTGGGGGCAAAGCCCTGGCCTAGATCCGTCAGCCGGGAGAAGCTCCCGATCAGTCCACAAGGAAACTCAGCCCCAAAGACCGGAAAATACGCAACAAGGTTGTTGGCCCTTTCTATTGAAACATAATGGGCCCCCTATGCAATAGTGCAAAAACCTGTAGGGGCTCCCTAAACGCCGGGTCGAAGCTGGGTAGGACACATCATGATCCTCACGCCTGCACCCGAAATCTTGTCATGTGCTTCCAGGGGTTGATGTCCCAGTCTTTTCATGGAAAGAATGGGGAAGGTACCCTAGAAGGTTAACCTTTTGGGACCTTTACCAACCGGCAAAAAAATATATATCTTTTTTAACCACTAAATTTGTCTTGCCAGAAAGTTTAAAGTCCATGAACTCAGGGAGTGAGGGAATCGCCATGGCTTCGTTGCCACCTGGTCGGGTGAGTTGCACGCAGAAGATGATGTCCAGTGAAGTTGGCAAAGATGGAGGGGGCGATATCTCTAAAAAATGTGTGTTAAACGGAAAATATGTTGAAATGTGTTTCAATGGCAATGCACATGCATCGGCATGCTGGTGTGCTTTTGCTCTGGACCTGGAATGGATGGGATGAGCTTTGAGGATATGGCAGTTGACATTCTCAAAAATGTAGATGGGTTATCCCAATCTTTGAATGGCGTTCTCCTTAACTGGTGCAGGCTTCCGCCCATCACCCCCACGTCCGCCACCCCGCACAGTTCGGCGCTGAAGTATGTGAAGTATGCCAGGAAGTACGGCCAAAAACAGGCCAAGCAATGCCAACATGAGCGCGACGGCTCAAAGAAATCCAACATGGGGCCTCTCACGTATGACATTGGAACCTGCATCTGCAATTGCTCTGCAATTGCTCTGGATAAACTATCCAACCTCGTCTCGCCGAATGAATGTGATTTGAAATGGGAACCCTCAGGTTGACATCATTTAAGTAGGATTTATGTCCACCAAGCATTGACGATAGTGTTCCTCACTAAAACCCACAGTCAAATAGGTGCTTACTGGCCGAAAGGCAAGGGAAAAGAGCGACGCACCTGTTCCAGATGAAATTTTAAAGCAATCCCACCTCCTCCAAGGAAAACTAGCGCCGGTGGACCAGGTAATCAAACGATCAAACGGGAGTACAGGGGGCAATATCATTCAGCAAGCTCCTTAAACAATGCATCGAAAAACAACCTTGTTTCCTGTTCAAAGTGGGGGATCTCTATTCTAGCCCGGAACCTGGGACACCAAAGCAAGGGAATTAATTCACTACCATCTGACACCCGACCTCACCCCCAACCTCCCCAGCCTCCCCAACCTCACCCCCAACCTCCCCAACCTCACCCCCAACATGACCTCACCCCCAACCTCTTCCCCGACTCACCCCCGACCTCCCCAGCCTCCCCCAACCTCCCTCACCTCGCCCCCAACCTCACCCCCAACCGACCTCACCCCCAACCTCCCAGCCTCACCCCCGACCTCACCCCCGACCTCACCCCCAACCTCACCCCCAACCTCCCCAACCTCACCCGCAACCTCCCCAACCTCACCCCCATCCTCACCCCGACCTCCCCCACCTCACCCCCCAACCTCACCCCCAACCACCCCCCCAACCCCCCCCCCAACCCAACCTCACCCCCCAACCTCCCCGACCTCCCCGACCACCAGACCTCACCCCCAGCCTCCCAGCCTCACCCCCGACCTTACCCCCGACCTCACCCCCAACCTCCCAGCCCCCAACCAGACCTCCCCCACTCCCCGATCTCACCCCCAACCTCCCAGCCTCACCCCCACCTCCCCAACCTCACCCGCCCGACCTCCCCCACCTCACCCCCAACCTCACCCCCCACCCAACCTCACCCCCCAACCTCCCCGACCTCACCCTAGCCTCACCCCTGACCTCCCCCACCCCCAGCCTCACCCCCAACCTCCCCGACCCCACCCCCAACCCCCAACCTCACCCCCAACCTCACCCCCAACCTCCCCCCCAACCTCCCCGAAATTCCCCGACCGCTCGCCCAACCCTCCCCGCCCTCCCCGACCTCCCGCTCGCCCAAGTCGCAATTTGTGGCATTCTCCAGCTGAAGAAACGTCTGCTGCAGGATCTGCTCCCAATCGCTCTGCTGCTGCGCCGCCTGACGAGCTCACAAGAGTACGGAACGATCTGTACACTTATACATACACACACATATATATATATATGTGTGTGTATACATACATACATACATACATACATACATACATACATACATACATGCATACATACATACATACATACATACATACATACATACATACATACATACATACATACATACATACATACATACATACATACATACATACATACATACATACATACATACATACATATAGATGTATGTATGTATGTATGTATGTATGTATGTATGTATGTATGTATGTATGTATGTATGTATGTATGTATGTATGCATGCATGCATGCATGCATGCATGCATGCATGTATGTATGTATGTATGTATGTGTGTGTGTGTGTAGATATTCATACCCTCACAAAAACACACTTGGAACCTGCAAGGGGCCCACTGGAAGACCATTTTCCTCCAACAGGGACCCTCTTCCAGGTTCCACGCTTGGGTTTGCAAGGGTATACACACTCCGCGATGTGTTCTCCCGCGTGGGCACTCGGCACGTGCCATCAGGGCTCACAAGCCGTGCTTGCAGAGGCCGGGCTGGCGGAGGTTTGCATATGACCAGGTCTTCAGCAGTCAGACTGACTGCAGGGTACACGTAGATGGCATGGCGAGTACGGCAATGGCGAGGGTACACTGCAGGGTACACTGCAGGGCAAGTACGGCAATGGCGAGGGGCGCCCCTCCGGCACACGCGCGCTGAGTGAGGGGTGTTTGGGTGTTTTGCGTTTTTTCCTTTCGTTATTGTTTTTTGTTTTATTGTTTTTCTTTTTTTTGGGGGGGGAGGGGGGATATGCCTGGACCCTCCGTACATGGCATTGCTGAAACAAAACATACATGCGCACGTTTGAGAAATTCGATGGACATCCCCTTTTCGCAGGCTGTGAGCGTTTGTTCCTGGACGCCCTTCAACACAGCTTGCAATGTACGGCCCGTCAGACTTGGCTCCGCTGCATGCCTTATGCCCCCATGTGCTGTGAGGCCACGTGTGACAGCTCCCTTGCCGCTTTTGCAAGTTTCCAGCTTTCTCAGCCAACATGCGGGAACCCGAAATGCACGGAAATCGGTGGGAAAGGTACGGAAATCGCAGGAAAAGTACGAACGTCAGCGGAGCATTTTCTTGGAAACATGTGCACCATTTGCCCGTGCTGAATTGAACATATTCACTTGGATTTTCGGCCAAGGAGCATGACAAGCTCCAGTTCCAGCGCCAAAGCTGAACGTGCGGTTCTTGTAGGAAAAAGTAGTTGACTGCTTCTACGTTTCTGCATGTTGCCCGCAAGACAAAAAAGTGTTTGCCAACATGTATGGATTTCAGGTAAACGCACGGAATTGTGCGGACATTTGCAAAAAACAGTTCGCCTTTTTTGGTCCAGGCATGGACTTGCGTGATCACTGCATAGGATGCTTGTGCGTGGCTTCCCTGTTTGCACTGCGGCACTGTTGAGGAAACACCCCCATCTTTCTCTTGCCCCAAAATAAGGCCCTAGCTGACTGCCTTCATCAGGACTTTCGGAGCAAGGGGATTTGGGCCACTCCGCATGGTTGTAAGCGATCTAGCAAACTCCCAGACCAAAAAAATGTGGAAATCAGGGGCCGGGGGCTGCTGGGGGTGGGGGTCGGGCGAGGGTTCGTTGATGATGTTCCACATGAACTTCAGACCCAAACCACATGCGCCTGCAGCAAAAGCTTCCCCTTCTGCTCCTGGAGCGTCAGCATCAGCTCCTGATGCGCCCATGAATCAGGGCTCCAGTGCGGCTTGCCTGGTGTGAGGCTGACTAAAAGCACACCACCGACGGACGCCTTGCTCCTCCAAGTACTTATCCCAAGGTAACCCTGGAAGGTGGCTGCAAAGACTCCACTGCAACATAGGGGCAAACGTAGGCCGTGCAACCCGATCAAACGCTCTGAGAGGCTTCTGCCTATGTCCCAAGCTGCACACATTAGCAAGTCGACAGCGACCTGTGCCATAGTTTCACTTCCATGACAAAGCGTGGCTAAGGCACTTCAGTCTATGTCCGCCTCAATTTGCCACAGGCCAAAAAAAACATTGGCATGGCTCAAAAACTTGGGCTCCCAATGCTAGCTGCTCAGAGGCATATCAAGCCGCCCTTCCAAGTGCCGCAGCCGAGGAATTTCACTTGGGACTGACGGACAAAATGTCCCGTACCGCTGTGGTTTGAATAAAGAGAACAAGTTTTTGAGGTGCTGCAAGCTGAACATTCGGCGGCACATTCACATTGCTTGCTGCTGGCAAATGTCACCCTCTGGCAAGGACCATTCAAAGTGAGGACCTCTTATGTTTGGCGATGGTTCAGGGCAACCATGTCACAACGCAAGAATACCGAGCTAACAGCCTAAGATTTACCCTTACACAACACACTCTGGGTCTTGGGGAGCTATCTAGCTCTTCGGAAATGGTTGTTTGTGATCAGAAAGGCGGTCAGACATGGGATTCAACCTGAACTGTTTGTGGTAGCAGTGTTGACCGCAAGAGGGCAGGACATGTAGCCACCGGCTTCAAAGCCCCTGAAAAGCCGGCATGGCCAGGGTGAGTTTTGTTGGAAGATATGCACTTGGGAGAACTTGTCCAGACCGACACTGCGCATCAGCGGCGCCATGGCCGTGCCATTAAAACATGTTGTGAGACAGCGTCAGGTTCAACAAAGACATTTGTAGCTGGCCACAGGGAGCATCCTAAACCTGGCTTCCTGAAAGGACTTGAGTGACTACTTCTTGGAAGCTTCACTCATGAAACAACAGGCAGTGAAGACCATGCGTTATTCAACCAAGCGGATTCTGTTGGCCACAAGTGGCAAGCTCACATGGCGCGTCCTGAAAACTCGCCATGGGCGCGAGCTAAAGCCCCGCGATCCGCCGGGTGGATCGCAGAAAAAGCGCGCGGCGCGGTTCTCCGTTCTCCGTTGAATGCACGGAGTCCAAAACCTTCAAATTAATAACCTTAATGCTGTGCTCGTAGAAAACCCCCCCTCAGCTCGTCATAATTCGACCCCAGGTATAATCACTGAAAGCAAAGCTGGCAAGTTGATTCGGTCTCCCCAGCCATGGATTCGGTATGTGTCGAGGGGTTCTTTTGGGCTTCCCGTTCACGCCCCACAAAAAGTAGCAAGTCAAAAAGCAGCAAGGCATGGCGGCGCTAGAATACCGAGCTTCGGTGTTGGCTGCCGCGCCCCCCTTGAGCACAAACTGCCGGCAGAACTGGGGACAACGCGAATCAACTGCAGCCAGTTGGGGGCCGGGCGGGGGGGCGGGGCGCCAGAAAGGATAAAGGACAGCCAGCTCACAGGGATCTTGAGATGTCTCAAAGCCACCCAAAGGAACGGTACAGCCCAGGGTTGACCATGTTTGTTTGAAGACTCCTTGTGTCTACCTTTTTATGGGGCATCAAGAGCGACTCTCTTTACGGTCAAAAACAATGCGAATCTACCGCAACATGTACGGGGAGCGGCCCCTTCATTGGGGGCTACAGCCCCTTTACCATACGTTACCTGGCCAGAATACCTCAAAACGAACACTTGAAAACCCAAGCAAATAAATAACATGTTTGTGGAGGAGACCTCAGATTACCTCTCTGGAAAGAGGGGGGAAGTTTTTTCAGACTGGGCCCGGAATTGCACCAAAAGCCTTCCCTTTTGCTTCCGTTGGGGTCCACAAAGGCTTCCCGAACAATAAAAGGTGAACCTTTAGAACAACCGCCGTTTTTCCAGAAAAAAAAACTGCAAAGATGTCCCATTTGCTTGTTGCTTCCCTTTCATACGCCCAAAGCCGACAAAGAGTCTTTCCGGTTGAGTTTACTGTTGGGTTTTGGTTTCCTTTGTCGTTTGTTGCCTCTTGGGGCTTTCTTTGGGGTCTCCCATCCCGCCCACCAAAAAGGGGGAAGGGAGTAGAGGCTCGCCCAATTTTCTGAATTTCAGGCTCACCAATCTCCATTTGGTTCACCTTCAGGTGTTTTTGTTTGGTTCTTGGTTTTCCTTCTAGTTTTCCCCGAAGTTTCCCGGTTTCTGGTTTTTCTTTTAGTTTTCCCCGAAGTTTCCCGGTTTTTCTGGGTTCTCCTCCGGATTTCCCTCGGTGGTTCCCCCCGTTTTTGTCGGCTTTCCTCCTCTATCCACATCCGCCACATCCGGGCGCCGGGCACATGGTCTGCGAGAGCTGCAGGCGCCCGGCCAAGCGCCGCACGTCCTCGGCGCTGTGGCGCCAGCAGAGGGCCGCCAGCAGCAGCTCCACCCAGTCGTTCTCCTCTGCTGGTCCGGCGAGAAAAGTCAAGCACTTTTTCTTGCTGGTGCGAAATTATTTTTCTTACCTACTCTCAGTACCCGGTGGCACCTTGTTCCCCTCGTTTTTCGATAGGTGGGGTTCTCGACTAGGTCCTCCAGTAGAGAGAGTCAGAATAAGGGTACCAACTTTTTTTTCTGTAGTGTGGTTGGGAGGATATTCCCCACGTAAACCACCATTTGGGGTGAGGTCGTTCTCCTCCGCTGATCCCTCCGGTGACTTTCTAGCGGGATCCAACGTTTGTCTACTGGTGCGAAATCGGGGAATCCAAACAGTTGAAGCACGCTCCCCTTCAAAAAGTCGTTCTTCAAAAAGTCAAGCGCTTTTTCTTGCTGGTTGACTGACTTTGGTTGGTTGACTTTAAAGGGGAACCCTTCCCAAAAAAAATGAAAAAAGGGTACCAGTGGGCAACTGGGCTCGTCAAAGTGGGCATTTCCTTGCAATCGGTGCGAATTCCTTTTTCTTGCTGCTAAATGGCTCATGACCCCAGAAAAGCCATCCCTTGCTGGTGGTCCTCTGCTGATCTGGCTGAATTATAATATTTCATCAGCCTGTGAGATCGTTGTAATTCACCCAGGCTGATCCCCCAGAAAGTCAAGCACTTTTTCTTGAGCTGGTGCTATAGGGAATGAGACATGGCTCATGCTGGCTGGTGGTTACCTTTAGGGGACCCCTTTTTCCTATTGGCGTGAAATCGGCAGGGAATGAGAAATGGAATGACCCCGAAAAACCACCGGTCCCTTGTGGTTGGCTTTAAGGGGACCCCTGGGTTCATCCTCATTCCCTACTGAGCACCAGCAAGTTTTGCAGGTGGAAAGCAAATAGGAGGGGTATCCAAAAAGCTGAAGCCTAAAGATCCAACCCAATAGCAGCAGAGTCAAAGCTTTCTCTAACACGATTTTCGGGGGTGGCGTCAAAGGGAAACCATAAGGAACACCGAAGTGTTGTTGCCCACCATCGTTGAACAGTTGATATGCGTTGAGGTTCGATCGACAAATCAAAGAAGCAGCCCCGCGACAAACAGCAACACACATAGTTGTGCCCGCAATTCGTTTTACACACCGTTAAAGATGTTGTACATATTCAAAAGCAATGTGTATACCAAGAATAAACCTTTCCTCCACACAATTCTGCACATTCTAGCTGATGCGCTGAGCGCGCAATCAATAGTGATAAATACCCAGGCGGCTCGGCGACGCCAAATGCAATAAAATTGAAGTGTTACTGCTGGCCTAATGTGAGCAGGATATGGCCGCAGTGTAAAAATCATCGCCCTCGGGAATTGAGGGCCGCACTTTGAAAAAAGTCAGAGGCAACTGGATTAATACACTAACGGGTCAAAAACAAAAAAAACAAGCTAGAACTATAAGGACAGTGATAGGACTGCTGTGCGCAGAACAAAAAAACAGTGGGTCACAGCAAAACAACCTAGAACTGTAGTTCAAAACGACACTCAACAGAACCAAGCAAGATGGTTCAACAGAAGAAGCAAGCCACACAAACCACGAACCGTGGTTCCAAAACATTCACAAATAAATCCCAATGCAACTGCACTTCATCCACAGCCACCAACCAAGAACTAGTAGTTAACACTTAATAGTAGCAACAGGAAACCAATAAAGGCGACTTGAACAAAAGCCACGAACCAAGAACAGTAGTTGAACTAATAGTATTACCCCCCCACCCCCCCCAAAAAAAAAAGGCGAGCGCCCCGCGAGAAACCCGAGAGGCCGTGGAATTTTTGGTCTGAGGTGCCCAGACCCCGAGCTTCCGCCAATCCGGGCGCATCAAGGCAGGCACCAGGCCTCCCAGGGGGAGAGTGAGGGTTCCGGTAGGAGGGGGGTCGTTCGTTTGTTTGTGAGCATTTTTTTGGGGGTTTGATACCCTCCCGATTGTTGGTTTGAAAGGGAAAGGGACCAAGAAACCCACCATCTGGACATGCTTGTTTTTGTTTGGGGAGGTCCCCTAAAAAGAGACACACCCAAGGAGACATCCAAGCACCAAGTCCTCTAAATCAGCTGGTGACAATTTCTCACTTGGTGGCTCACATGCACCCTTCGCCCTGTCTTCCCGCAAAAACAACAGGCATGGGGTGTGTAAACTTCTAGGCTTCCAAGCCGAAGTCGCTAACCTGAAAAGTCTCATAAGATGCCGAGAGGGATCCCTCTGAGCCTTGCATCGCACCAATGTCCCTCCGCCCCCTCTCACGTGCAGGGCCAAGGGTCTTCCCCAGTGCCGCAGCCCATGTGGAACCAGAACAGATCCGAAACCAAGTGCACAGTCATTCCTCGCAGGTGAGCCTAGCGAATTTTGAGGCTTCACTTCCCCTTCAAAAATTCCCAAAAAGGGAGGTTAACTTAAAAAGTCCCAAATGATTCCGTTCGCCCCAAGTCGCCTCCAGGGATGCGGCCCCGGAAGCGGGCGGAGCGCGCAGTGACGTGGCCCTCGGCAAGGCCATGCAGCAGCAAAGTGCCCAAGCCTCAGCTTCCCAGCTGCTTCTTTTTGCCTAATGTTTAGACTCCATATGGCCATGGGTCCAAATCCCGTACCCCCAGTGAACATCCCACCCGCTAAACCAGACTAAAATGGGTGGGACACCTACCTCCAAAATGGTACCATTGGTTTTGACCCACAGCCATATTAATCAACCCCAGATTATTCATAGGGGGGTGTCCCTGGGTTTAGTGGGCACTTTGGATGGGAACCTCCCCCTATTAATAAACGGTTTATTAATATGAGGTTTGGCCTACCCCCGAGGCTCGTCTTCAGCGGTGGTTTTAGCAGATGTAGGCAAATGAAAATGACCTTCAAGTCTCTGCGTGATTCAAAAGTTGAGACTTTCAGGATGGCTCCAGCTACCACTGTGAAACAGAAATTTAAAAGTTTGAATGTGAGGCTGAGAGGGAACTTTACCTTCATGTGTTGCATGTTCTCCCCTGCTTACCTATAGGGCCATGCCTCGATCCCCGGACGCTCTGTCACACCCAAACCTGGGCCAACTTCCAAATTCCAAAGCTTGCAAGATACTCCTCTGCAAATTGACCTGGACCCCACAGAGGAGGACTCTTCGTTTGAAGAGCCCTCTTGTCAGGTTCCATGTGAACCCCTTTTTATTGGCACTTGACCTAGCTCCAACGGGAAGCCCCCTCAACCAGGAAAAAGGGCACCACTAGACAAACGCAGGGAAAGAAGCGACGCCTGACGGGGTTGGTCTCTGTCAGCGGGTTTTACCCATCGATTTGCTCACAGTTCTTGTTTTCATCCGCCCAAGAGTAATTACATCTGGGCGAATTCCCGGCCAAGACCCTGCTCCAACCTCGGGTGAAATCCCTCTTGATGTTTATGTACCCTTTTGATATTTGCTTGCCCTGCATGTGCATGGCATTATTGCGGTGTACTTGTCAAGGCGCCCTTCTTGCAGGGGCACGTGCTTGAGCCCGACCGCGCGCAACAGTTGGGACTTTGGCAGCCGCAAAGAAACAAAGGGACCACCGACACGTCACAAGGGACTTGAAAGGGCGCTTTCTTCGCTACTTGGGTTCTCACTCCCCCTTTCGGTTGGCGAATTCCAAACAGCCAACCCATTTCCTGCTTTCGACCCGGCTGGGACCGCCAGAAGGGATCCGTTTCATGGACCATGGCGAAGGGGCCAAGTCGCTGCTTCCCAGGCATATGGCTTCTCCTCTTGGCGTATTTATCCAACTGACTTCCTGAATGGATTGGCCAAGGAACAACCCGTGTTTCTGTTGGGCTTACCACTCAACAGCTCCAGACCCAATTTGTTTAAGTCAAAAGAACGAGTGTTTTCTTGTGTTGACCACAGTGGTCTTCCCAATTTTCCCCCAAAAACTTCCAAGTCCAACTCCAAGAGTGAGACGTTGGCCCAGTTCCCTCGCTTCGCCGAAGCGCGCGCCACGTTGTTCACCGCGCGCGGCCACGGCCCGGGCCACGGCCCGAAGAGCGCAGCTTGAACCTCGCGACCGCAGAAAAACCATGCGCTGAGCGAAGGGGCCTGGAGCTACAAAGGGGAGTAAAGAAGAAAGCTGTATACGTGCATGTACGGGGTTGGTAAGGGGCTTGCAAGAGTAAATGCAGTGGGAAGGGGGAGAAGAGGTATATTCTAGGGAGTACAGAAGAGGTATATCTTTACAACTCTTGGCATGGTAGCAAAAAACTGTTTTTGCAACCCCCAGTAAAACTGAACAGAACCAAAAACAACTAGAGAACCAAACAACATGCCAAGAACAGTGAACATATGCCAGGCATGTAGGGGGTTTGTAAGGGGGGGATAAAGTAGCATACAATGGGACACACAATGGGACATACAAACCGCATACGCTGGCTTTGAAAGTTGGTGGCGGGACGTGGGCCACTATATATCACCGAAACATTGCACCGCTAAAGTTGACAAACCGTCGAATGGTCACGAGTTGCCGCAAGGTGCGAGCCTTCAAACCAAAAGACAAGGACCCTGTGCCGGTCAGCAAGTCTGCCTCTGCTTCTCTTTGGAGCCAATCGTCCGGTAGCTTCCAAGGAAGCTGGCATGGTCCATTGTGTCGCTTCATAGGGTGGGACATATGGCAGGATATGCGTGCCTCTAGACCCAAGCCGAAAGATCCAAGGAGTTCGCACCCAAACCGAACCTTGCTCAATGCGGGCATCCGGCCAAAAGCTTCGCATGCCAAGCGTCCGCAAACGGGGGAGCGGCCCCTTTTGTTGTCAGGCTGCTTGGATTTGGTCGGCGCTTCAAGCAGGGCTTGCCTCTTGACAGCCTAGCGAAATCAACGAATAAGCGCCCTTGATTTTCAACCCGGCCAAGCCTTGGGAACAATGACACATTCAGTTCGAGCCTCACTTGCTCGAGGGGCTACAAAACATACAAACTTTCGAAGTCACCACTTCCCGTTACCAGGAAACCCATTCGTCAAATCCATCGATCCCCATCCGTCCATCCACCATCTATCCACCATCCATCCACCGGCCATCCACCGGCCGTCCATCCATCCATCCATCCATCCGTCCGTCCGTCCGTCTGTCCATCCGTCCATCAAGCCCATCCATCCTTCCATCCATCCACCCACCATCCAGCCATCCAGCCATCCAGCCAACCATCCATCGTGCACGGCTCGGTTCTTCCTAAAGGACTTACGCGCGAGGCCGGTGCGCGGTCCACAAACATGGGCCCCAGCAAAGGGTCCCTCTTAGAGGAAGCTTCTCTTCCCAGTCAGTCTTTGTCAGCATCAGACAGCCGCTTCTTTCCAACCCGTGTTTTGAAATGACAGCTTTTTCCTGGTTCAACGAACCTACCAACGGGTCCCTTGTAGAGAAGCCTGGTTCATAGAACCCCTCCAAAAGGTCCCTTTTAGAGAAACGGCTCCAAGCCACCCCCAATTGGGTTCCAGAGGCGTCCGATTCGCTGTGAGGCGCCTCGCAGTCACCGCAGAGCTGCAAGAAGCGCCAGGGCTGATTGTGCAGAAGCAGCGCCTAAGAACCCCAACTGCCGTTTGCTTAAGCCCCCTGGGAAAAATATGAAATTTTCAGTAGTGATAGATTCCCTTAAAACCAAGAGGGGGGAATAAACAAAATATTCTTAAGCAAATGGAACCCCGAGGTCTCTAATTGAAACGGGGCCTGGGATTCTAATTGAAACGGGGCCTCGGGCCTCGGATCCACTGAAACTGACTTTGGAGCTGAAGACCGCAGAAGCTCTACATGCTCCACAACTGGGGTTTATGGACTTGAAGCCCGCAGAACTTCGACAAGAACAGAAGAAGCTAAACCTAGCAGAATATAAGGGGGCTAGGTCTGCTAGGGTTAAACCTTGGTAAGTGCTGGGCTAAACATATAAGCCTGGCAGCTCTAGCGTCAGAGGACCTGCACAAGAGGACCTGCGAAATGGCTCCTGTTGCTAGGGTTCGCAATAAAATTGGACTTAACGGAAAACCAAAGCAGAACAAGGCGACCCCCACTCAACCTCATAATGACCCCAACATCTCAGTTGCTAAAAAGGACGTAAACACCGGCTCAAGCCTTGGATAGCAATGAACCAAACATCAAACCACCGACTCACTTGTCCAACAAATATGTCTAAACTAATAATCGTTTAAGCAATCTATTTTGGTTTGCCTTTGAAGTGGACAAATCTCCGGCTCTTTCGAGTGAGACTCCAAACCCGGTACTCAAAGGACCTACCCAAACTCACGTAAAGATGGTTTCAAGACACCTACTGTGTGCATAAACGTACGCTGGAATGATTTGATTCCCCTGCAAATAACTCATACCAACCATGAATGATTTCCCATGGTTTCAAAGTGGTGCGGTCTCAGATTGCGCCACCATCCACAGTATGGTGGGATAACACGAACATACTGCATTGGGTTGGATCCTAAATGCAGAATCCCTAAAGGGAAGCCACTACAAAGAGGACTCCTAAGAAGTGGTGCGAAATGCATTTCGCAACCATGCACAGTACTGTGGATGGACAAACTCCTGCACCACTTAAGAAACTTTGAAATGATGATTCGCCTGGAAAAACCAGGAAACAATGGTTCCCATGATTTCTTGGTTGGGGCTATGCCTTCATCTACCCAGGTTTGATATGACGCCCCGCCTTCTTCAGCTCATTGAGCACCCGCCCGGACGAGCCCTGCTCCTCGACTGCCCGATGTTTCTTGGAAGGCGAAAAATGGGCCTGGCCCTGGGTGCGTCCTGTCGTTTTGAGGGTCTTCCATTTGCTTAAGCCCCCTGGAAACAAAATATATGTCCAGTAGTGATAGATTCCCTTTAAAGCCAAGAGGGAAAACATATTCTTAAGCAGGTGGAAAGGGTACCTCGCTGTTTTGGCGGTTTGATGGGTGACCAACAGAAAACACACGAATTTGAGCCAAGCCTTGGCAAAACCTCGAGAAACCTGGAGCCTTTTTTGCGGGTTGTAAACAGAATGGGGCTTGACGGAACGCCTTAGCTGCTTAATGCAACTGTAGTTTGGCTCCATGGGAAGCCCTGCCTGAAGCATGGCCCGCATGATCTAACAAAAATAGGTTTGTGGGGTATCAAGCCAATTACCCTCCCAGCAATTAACATGGAACCTGACAGGGGGGTCCTGGAACCCTTCTAAAGGGACCACGTTCCCTGTCAGGTTGTGGTGAGAGGGTACCTCATCATATGGGTTTGGGGGCGCCTCACGTTCCCGGGTTTTAGTTACCAGAAGCCCCCAAATGGTCCTTTTGGGCAAGCCATTAAATGAAATCATCCAAGACATATGCATATAATATATATATATATATATACCTGAGGCACCCAACGTGCCCTTTTTTTAGGTACGAGAAAAAAAACGCTCGAATTACCGATTTCTGCTCGACCCCCAAAAAAACGCTCGCCCCCCCCGAAAAACGCTCGACCAAATCCCCTTCTTCCATCCAGAGGAAGGCGGGCATTGTTACGGTTTTTAAATTTGCACTCGTTTGCGGATATTTGCGCTCGTTTTGCGGATATGTGCGCTCGTTTTGCACTTTGATTTCTGCTCGCTCCTTTCGAAAATTCAACGAAATATCATCTTGGACGACCGACCAGCCCGGTTTTGGGAAAAACGTTCGAAGCAGGAAAAAGTGTACGTTTACCATATTTTGGTGACGACCCCTGGTTTTGCAATACGTTTGGGCTAAGGGCAGAAATTTAGGTAACGAAGGGTGCTCCAGGTATATATTGTATCTATAATTTTTGTGCGTGTCACAGGGCAACTCAGATTGAATCAGCAAAAGGAGGAGTCAGCAAAATGCAGCTGCGACCAATTAAACTGTATTGCTGACCCCGGATTAATCAACCCCCTGTTTATTCATATGGGGGTGGGGGCCCCTCCAAAAGTGGTCGAAATCCAACCACAAAAACCAGAAACAAGCACCCCATATGAATAAACCGGTTAGTAATCCAAAGTCAACATCACACCCCTCCCAGCCACCCACCGGCACCAGGCTACGCACCCCACCTCCGTGAAGGCCGCCGAATTGCGGATGTCCTCGTGCAGCTCGAAGCCGTACCGGGAGGAGAAGCGCATCAACCGCAACAGCCGCACCTGTCACTTCCCGCTTCCGACTTCCGACTCCCGACTTCCAACCCCAAAAAACCCGCGGCGTCCAGTACGATCCGAGTCCAGTCAAGTACGATCCGAGTCCATTTGGTCAGGAGTAGAGGGGGATTTCCCTCCCACCAATTAACATGGAACCTGATGTTCGGGACCCGGTCCCGTTGCAACGAACATGGTCCAAACCAGGACCCTCATAAAAAACATGTTCAAGTTCCATGTGAAAAAGTGGTAACGAAAATGGAAAAGTGAAGCCCAGCCAAATCATGGCGGAAACTAAACCAAAAGGCCTAGCTTAACTTCGGATCTGTCATTTCCTGACCCCCTGGGCTGCTGGGAGCGTTCCACAAACCACAGAAAGAATGTTGTCGAGCACATGGAAAGGAGCCTGAAACAGGGTTCCTGAAAGGATACCTCACATCCCAAAACCACTTGATCTACAAAGGCATCGGTTCCGAACTCCTTTGGTCAAGGGTAATACTGTGGACAAATCCACGCCGGTGGGTTTGTCAAATATTAACTTGGCCTTGTCCATTCACAATCGATTTACCAAGGGCTTGAATTGTTCCAGGCTCCCCTTACTGATCCGCAAGGGGATTTGTTGAAGGCAGACGGAAGTGATGGTTCATACGGGTCATTCCCTCATGAGCGACAACTGGAACCACTAGATATTTTGGCGACTGGAACCGCAGGCCTTTGGGATTGTGATACCTGGCGACCACCAGAAAAATGGTAAATACAATGTAATCAGCAACCCGTGGAAGACTACCTTCCGCTTGGACAGGTTCAACTTTGCACTTTCACCTTACGAACGTATGATAAAACCGCTAGTCGAACAACCGCAGAAGCATCCGCCATGTTGACTTCATCTGCGGTCAGCGCAGACGAATTGGTATGTGCTGGAAAAGGGCGGCCGGATTTCTTTCTGGCGCCCCCTTTAAACCAACCTAGAAAAGAGGTACCCTCACCAACAAAGACAAGCACGTAAACACAGAGAGAGAGAGAGAGACACAGCCATAGACACACAGACGCGCCAGCGCACACAAACGCGCGCGCGCGCGCTCGCACCCCCAACCCCCCGCCCCCCGCCCGCCCGCCCGCCCGCCCGCCCGCCCGCCCCCACCCGCCCGCCCGCCCGCCCGCCCCCACCCGCGCGCGTGCCCGCCCGCCCCCACCCACCCGCCACCCACCCACCCACCCACCCACCCACACTGCAACATTCCAAGGCGCTGGATCTTCCTCAAAAGAGGCCTTTGGGCCTCCCGGGTGAGGAGACCGCACCAGGCCGGCGGCCAAATCGCACCTGGGCGAGCGGGCGAGCGGCTGGGTTTAAGGGGTCTGACCCACCTTGAATCGGTGGAACTCCCGGAGTTTCAGCACCTGGGGCGCCAAAGCCACAAGGAGTTTCACCCTGGGCTTAGGTGGGTCAAATGGAAACTACCACTAAACTAAACACTAAAAAGTTAAAAGGCTAAGGAACCGGATGGCTGGCAGCCACCAACTTTTGAGACCCCTGCGAGACGGACTTCTTACAGCTTGGCGCCCCACAGGCCGCCTGCGGGGTCCGCCACCTCCTCACTGGCCTGGCATCTGAAAGGCACGCTGGCCCCACTGCGAAATGGTGGGCGGTTTTTCACAATCCCCAAATCGGCTGAACACATCCCCAAAAAATGAACATTTCACCGAAGGAACCCAGTTAAATCTGATACCCAAATGAATGTTGAAAAGGGCCTGCATGGATGGAAATCAAACACCTCATTCATTCCGCGCCCTTTCTGCGAGAGCTTGGAACAACACGGGGCGACTGTTTTTGAAGATGGTTCCCTTTTGGCGGGTATCCAAGGGAAATCAACAACTTTGAGGGCATTGTCCCATTTACATAAAGACGAACCCAAAAGGACCGGCAGCAAAAAGCAAACACTACTAAGCCAGCACTAAACTTGGGAAAGGCCAATCAGGCCCTCGAATTGCTTTACCGGCTCTCTCTAGAGAATGTTCAGCCTACATCAAAACAAAACTTCCGGGAAGGAAGTCAGGGAGTCAGATAAACACCCCTGCCTAGGATGTTCTGAAGCCAACCCCCCAATTGGCTGATTGAATTAATGGTTTTGAGGATTTGAGCACTTGGTTCTTGTAGAAAGGCTTTAAGAAGGGGATAGCCACCCAGCAGGGTACCTTTCAACATTCCCTTGAATGTTTGGAAACTGTGGCAGGGAAAGATTCGGGTGTGTCTCGACAACATTTTTGCCTTCCGGCTGAACCAGCCAAAAGCGGCCTCCCAAACACACCCATGAAATCAAAATGGTTGAGCCCGTGTGCTGCAAATTTGAGACCAATTCCAATTTTACCCCCGCTTGAGCTCGCCATAGGCAGGCTGTCGATTTCTGTCACAGCACTCCCAAAAACCAGCCTGCAGAACACACACCACACTCTAGGGGTTGATTCCTCTGCCATTCTGTTCAACCATCCTTCTTTTCAAACACCGGATCCGTTTCCCCTGGGATGTTTTCATGGTTCCTGAAAAGATTCGGATCCCTGGAAAGAATCTGGGTGAATTATACTAGTTCACCAACCTGAAATAAGCTGGTTTGGGGAGCTATTCCCGATATAAACCACCCTTTGGGGTGAATTCGGTCGTGTGAGGTCGCTATAAATTCTCCCAGAAGAACTGACATGGACATGGAAACCGCAAAAAAAAAAACTGGGAGAATCCTTTGAATGGCTTGAAAAAGAATGGGCATGGAATCCGCCAAGCTACCCCTAGCAACCCACGTTCCACGTCTTGAGGCCCCCGCCTCGAGGTACATGGCGTTGAAGGTGGCGTCCCTGTGGCCCCAGTCCTCCTCCAACGCGCCTGCCGCGTCGTGTCGTGCCCGGTCGGCCGCTTGGCCACAAGGGCCGGACCCACAAACGAGCCAGGGTCAAAATAGGGTAACCCCAAAATGCGGTTGCCCTGGTAAATGGAAACATGGTTCCTAGGTGTTCGGAATTCCGTGGTTGAGCTTTGTGAGAAATTTAGAGTTCTTCCCCCCAAATGTGCTAAAAGACTGGCTGGTAATTTTTACCAACCTCACGTGGGTGTGTCAATTAAGGGAGGCCAACGAGAAACCTACCAGTAGGGACTTGGGCAATTCAACCCCTTGTTTGCGCGTGTTAGATCACTGTTGAACAATTTCTTGGGTTTTCGTTTAAGACGACCAGGAGCTTAGCTGTCTAAGCATATTTGCCCAACCCTGCCAAAGAGTCCCCTTGTCGGTTGGGGGTGGGGGTTCCTAAATTCAATTGTCCAGTCTTTCCCCAACAAAGGAAGAATGAAACTACAGTTTGCGCCTCTTAAAACGGAGCCACAGCAGGGTTGCTCCAGAGATCAAATCGACCAATCTGAGCGGCTCTTTGCTCCGTTGAGAGCTAAACTTAAAGGTTTAGTTCAGTGGGCGACTGCATGAATACCTCTAGAAAAGTCTCAAAGTCTCTAGTACAACTGGGATCCGCCAAGCACTAAACATGGCAAATTAAAATTCACTGGTGTGGGCTGGGGTGGGGGTAGCAATCACTGCAGAGTTGTTGGGTGAGGAGAGGGAAGTCGCCGTTTGGGTTCCAACCATTGGCCCGCTGACTTGACTGGCTAGACAACAAGCATTCAACTGCTTGGCCATCTCTACTTATGGTAGCAAAAAACTTCTTTTTGCAGACCCCCAGCAAAAATCAACAGAACCAAAAAACTATTAAAATACTAAAACACATGCCAAGAACAGTGGGGTGGCCCTTCGCTAAGAGAATCAACGTTGCAACAAGACTGCGGATTACGATGATCAAGCAACCCGACAACAACAACTTTCGAGCTTGTATAGCTACTATTCGAATCCCCTTCCCACCAATCCCACACGGAACCTAACGTTTGGGGGTCCTGGTTTGAACCATGTTCCTTTTAAAGGGACCGGGTCCCGAACGTCAGGTTCTATGTTAGTTGGTGAGGGCAGTTGTTATTTTGTACTCATGACCTAAGTCTTGGCCGTGGGCTGTCCTTGGATCCCCCGCTACAGGTTTGACTTTTAGAGGGTTCAATGGAACCCCGCACCAAACGAACTCAACCTAAAAAGCTGAACCGGATGGCTGGGAACCACAACTCAAATGCTCAGTCGATTTCCATGGGAGAAAAAAAACACGGGCGTCCCTTTTTGAATGGTGGAGTTTAAAGGAAACGGAACCCTTCACACAAAAAGTGGAAAAAAGGGAAGCAACCCGCTGGGCAGCAGAGTTTCAGTGCTTCCTCTGACAAGGTCCACTTGGAGCAATGCGCTGGGAGCATCCCCTCCAACTGGGAACCACCAGGTAGTAAATCGCCCGCAGCCCCATCCCTCCCGGATGAGACACTCCGGCGCCTTCCAGCGGCCTGAAAGGCACGAGACACCGACGACAGATCTGTGGCTTGGACCACGAATTCCATGTTGCGCCCCTCGGAAGCCCGAAACTTCTGGTGACTCCCCCAGAAGCCAATGCCAACCCACGTTTCTTGGGTGGTGCGAAATGGATTTCGCAACCATCCGCGGCATCTTAGCTTCGGGCGCGCACAAGCAACCTGGACCCCTTCCGGAACCTGAAGCCACTGCAAACTCCATGGCCCACCTGGACCCCAAAGCTTGCAGCTGGCGGACGAACAAAACGCCGAGTCACTGGCAAACTCAACAGCTGAGAATTTGCGAACCTTGCAGTCAACCGCAAAAGAAGCCTTGCCACACCTTGACCGTTAGGAGCCCATGGTTACTAACAACGCGGCTTTCCTGCAAATGGTTTTGCAAGCAGGTTCCCGCAATGCAAACTCTTGTGCAAGATGGTGTCTTGCGTTGCATGTTGATCTCCTGAGATTGATTTGCCATTCCATGTCACAAAGTGATTTCTTCGAAACAAAACGGACGGCCAAAACAGAAACACAACAACTCCAGCAGGAATTCCCTGGTTTAGTACTCACAGCAAAAGCAAACACGACCAGAAAAGCAAGAACGACTGCAACATGGATGTACGTGTTTAGCATACAAACACAAGGGCAGGACACGTCTGCTTAGATTCAGGAAAAATCAAGACCGTCTCGCATGGCCTGTGTGACATCTTGTCCAAATTCGATGGTGCACAAGCGCTCACGGCACAACCACGTCAGTACTCATGCCGGCCGCATCTACTCTCGGCAGCGGTCAGAAAAGACTGCACGAGAAACAAAGATCCGCCGAGCCACCCACCCGATCCCAGCCAACCTGGGGCGAATCTGAATGAGGGGACCATGCTAATCAGGGCCGGGATGGTTTCGCTTCTAATCAGGAGATGTACGTTTTCTTCGAGGGCTTCCTCTGACAAGTAGCCTTGGACGACGTTGGAAGGGGAGCAACCAAATAAATTTTAGCAGTTAAGTGGGGATATCTCACTAAACCACAATAAACAAACATGTAAAATGTTTCCCAACAACAACCATGCTCAGATCGTGTCCAAAAGCTTGACATTCCAGGGGAAGTCTTATGCAACAGCTGAAAAAACCGGGTGGACATTTGGCCAACTTTCTGAGGGAGGCCATGTAAGGTCCTCCTCAGTAACATGAGAACATCACACTTGGAGCCATGCGCTGGGAGCGTCCCCCGCGCCTGCCGGGGGCACGGTCCTCTAGGCTGGTGATGTCTATGGAGGCCTCCCGGACCAGAACTCCACAAACCAGCGGCTGGTTGCGTTTTCATTTTTTGGTTGGGAAGCACCGATCCTTTTTAGAACCACCCAGCCGAGTCCAGGAAAGGCTGGCGGGGAACCGAACTTGCGGTTGTTTTTGCTTGACGCCGTGTAAGTTATAAACGTTTGGTGGGGATATAGGTCATACTTCGCTGGAAAAAATCGGCCGGCCCCTTTCCTCCGGCAGCAGCAGCTTCACAGTGGCGGCGCGCCCGGCGGCGGAGGCAGGCACCAGCAACGGAGGCTTCCGCAGCAGGCCGCGGAAGGAGTCCTCTTGGCAGAGCGCCTGAGATATCAAAGAAACTGGGTCAAGGGCTCTCGGATACCCCCACCGCCCACCCCCTCCAAATATATATATATATATATAAGCAAACACAAGCAAAAAGGCGGTTCCTTGTTGTGCGTGTCCCTTTGCCAGCCAAAAGCCTAAGCTAGGGCGGACAATGTTGACAGGATTTTTTGTCAACTGCAGCTGATGAATAGGGGGTGTCCCTGGGTTTAGTGGGGAATCAGAACACTTTTGGAGGGACACACACCCCTATTAGTAAACTGGGGTTGATTAAAATTGGGGTCATGCTGGGTGAAGGGGTCTCGGGTGACCAGGCGGTAGGCTGGTTGTTCATGTGGTTCCTGCTGCTGCGATGAAGCAAGGGCTGGAACAAGACGAATCAACATTGGGGGATCCTTTTTTGCAAAAAAAAAACAAACAAACCAGGGGCCAGTCAAATCATCACCGAAATACGCATGAGGGCGTTTCATTCCCATGACTGTTGGGTATAGAGCACGTTGCTTCTGTGTTCGTTCGTCTTTTTTCTCGTTTTGTCTGGTTTGTACCGTGGCCGGAGCCCAAGCCTGCGGCCAAGGGGCAAAGAAGTCGGTGATGGACCTTCGAAGCGCCGAGGTGATGGGTTTCGTCCGCTCGAAAGGAAACACCGTCATGGTGAACATGAATCCCGAGCGCGCCAACATAAAACCAGGGGGGTCTTAGCCCAGCCTAGGCAACCCTTCGCAATTCTCATGCCAGTCTTTTTGAGGGTGGTTCTCTTGTTTAGCCTCCAGACTAACATGTAACATGCCGAACGCACCCGATATGGAAGACGCGTTTCCGTTCGCAGAGGCGTGGCTGTGGGTCAAAACTAGGGTAACCCCAACCCTCAATGGACACACGGACATGCAAACCCGGCGGTTTTCTGGCTTAACTTTGACCCATGCCGTGGTCCCGCTTCCGTCCCGCTTCATTGGGAGTCGACGCGGGTCCGAGGTCTGCACTGGCCAGCGACCACCAGGTCGATATCTCCGGCGGGGTGGCCCGTGAGGCCCTGGAGGCCTGAGAGACGACGGTCAGGGGATGGATGGGTTACTGGCGATCGGTGTCGGGGAATGAGAAATGGCGCATGACCCCCGGAACCATCCGTTGCCTTTTAGGGGGCTGGGTTCCCTTAGATCAAAGGGTTTGGTTGGAAGATCTACAGGAAATGGCCCCAAAGCACACGAAATATGCCATATTTTCCTCTAGAATGTCCTGTAACCCAACCCATTGATTAAAGGAAACCAGAGGACGAATGGTTTAATTCGGGGTCAAATTCCGTCCTTCCCTGATCAGCAAGAAAAGGTACCCCACCCAAAGCCAGGGAAATCCTTACCCAATTTCATGATTAGAGTCCGGCGGCCAGTTATAGAATCTGGATTTTGTTGCTTGCTTCACTGGACAGATGAAACATGTATCCTAAGTCTACCCAAAACCATAGCACCATCCCACCAATATAACCTGACGTGACGGGGGGGGGTCCCTGGAAAACGAGTCATGTTCCTTTTTTTTCAAGGGAGTGGGTACAGGTTCCGTTTTAATTGGTGGGAGGGTGCAGCTCTTTCCCAATTTGAAATCTGTGACAACCCCTCCGAATGAGCCTAGGATAACGCCCGAAAGAAGCAAGCTGCCCGCACTGGAAAAGGAACGTCCCTATGAGTTGCCTTGTCCGGTGACCCTGGCAGCATGGAAACCCGGTTCAGTGTTTATCAATTTAAGCAACCAAACCCGAAATGGATTTGGGCAGGTTCTAGCAGAAATATCCCCTTCCCGATCTCTTGGGGCCGGCTACTTGGGAGTAACCCGGCCGGACCGAGTTGACAAACATCCCAAAGTGGGCTGGGCAACTCCTACAACCTGAAAGGCAAAAAAAAACAGCCTCTTTGGGATTCACCACTGGTGAAGCACCCATTAAACCAAAAGGGAACACGGTGCCACTGAAACCACCCGACTGGTCATCCAAGGAGTGCTTCCGCCCCGTGTGCCCAAAAAACAACTCTACTTCTTGCGGGGCGGCGCTGCCACCGGGCGTTGGCGTCTGGGTTGATGCCCTGGGTCGCAGCACTCGGTCATCCCAAACCTCAAAACCCCGTGCAATGCGCGTGTCTGGTTATGAAAACCCCTGCCCTTTTGAAGTTGTATTATTTTTCTTTCTGCGCAATATCGTCGACGCCCAGAGGCTACATTGGAGCCCAAAGAAGTTTGGGCTTTGCCTGACTCCCCATTGAGTGCATTGGGCAAACAAAAAAAAGAACTTGTTATTTACCACCAAAATGGTCCAGACCCAAAAACTTCAAAGTCCAAAACTCAGGGAGTGAGTTGGACGCCACCAATACCGCCAGGGTCCATCTTACTCCTCTGCTGAAACCCAAACAAACATCATGTCTAAAGGACATGTCCATTGAGATTGGACACTCTTTGGGATCCATGCTTACATTTGCATGGTTGCCAGCCATCGCACATTCACACATCCACTGGTTGGATTCCGAAGATTTCTGTTTGCTTGGATCCCTAGCTGCTCACTCTGTTCAATTCATCCGCCAAATCACGTGGGCGGCTCCAATTGGACGCAGGAAGAGCTGCAAAGCAACCCTTTCATGGACTCACATACCCATGCTGAAGGCAGAACCATTGCTTGCTCGGGTTCTGACGTTCACCTCGAAAGGGTGCGGTGCTAAAAGGAAACCACCAAATTCGGATTTGCACAACACAAAACCGCTTCCCTCTTATTGGTGGTTTGGATTCGTGAGCGGTGTCTCATGAACCCTCCCAAAAACAAACAGAACACCAAAGATAACAGCAACACAACATATCAAACAAAACAAACATGCAAAAAAGAGAACAACTAAGCAAATGGAAAAATAAAGAAAACAACAACACAAACATCAACAAACAACACAAGGAAGATAAAAAGAAAACCAAAAAGGCAAACCGCGCGCCTGGGTCTCCAACATCTTGTCCCGCAGCCAGCCCCCCGTGACTCGGACCTGCGGCTGTTGTGTCACTTGAGTGGACTTCCGATCGAGCGGATTGGCCAACCACAAGTGTCCGATCGCCTCGTTTCTAGAATGATCCAACCCCAAAAGGACTGACACACTCGAAGTCGCAACTTTCTGTTGACCCCTAAACTGATCGGCCTCAAAGCTCGGTTGTCTAGATACTTGGGAAGCGAGTTGCTCCGTTCTGCTGCCAAGAATATGCCTAGCCCGCAAAATCAGAGGTGCATGGCCTATGAACCCAGTGTTCAGCGACTCTTGTAGAAAAATGCGGCCCTATTTCGGCGTGGAAGCCACCAAAAAAAAAGTGACTTAGCACTGAGTGACCACTTTCATGCTCAGGGCCCCATGCCATCTTGGACAGCCCATACTGTGGATGGATGAAATCCTGTGCTGAAACCATGCGAAACCACTGTTTTTTGGTACTGACAGGGGATCATCAGGGTTTTGTAGGTGGTGCAGGATCTTGTCCATCCACAGTGCTCGCATGCTTGCTCCAGTTGTCAATCAACAGCCTAGCCAACAAGTTGAACCCCTCCAACCTGGAAGTCATGAGCCTGGTTATACTTTCCAACCCTTGGTCTGGTAGCACCAAAAGAGCTGCAATACTAACATGAACAGAACCAACAAAGACTAAAAACCAAAACAAGCCTGCCAACAACAGTGAAGAGTACCTGATTTTGCCGGTCTTCACGGTAAACAAGGGCAGAGCTTGGCCCATCCGTTTTTTCAGCCAGGCAGAGACTTCCGTGCCAGGTAGCAAAAGGGAACCCGGCCTGTTTTGGTATAGCGGGAAGCCCATCAAAGAAAAACATGATCTAGAGGGTGCCAAAGCAACAAGGGAACAACTACTGATCCTTGCGGCGTAGGACTTGCAACTTGTATACACCCCCCCTTACGGGGAGGAGTGTGCCGCACTGGAACTGCGAATGGAACTCCAAGGGTCATCCCTCGTCCCACTTCCCTTCTTAAGGAGTTGGGGGTTGCCGCAATGAGTTCTGCGCCCACGGTTCCCAGGTACGGAAGAATTCCCGCAAATCTGTCTTGCAATGAGACAGTCCAAAACTTGGCAACCGACAAGATCCTCGCATCAAGGTGGCAATTTGTCCCACGCCACTTTCGACTGGAACCTTACCAAAAACACAAAAACAAGAGCGAAACAAAGGGACAGGGGTCAAAATTGGGGTCGAACACAAAGAGAGTGGTTTTGCTGATGGCTTCCCTTGAAACCATCAGATGGTCCAGAAGCTTGCCAAGTGGCTTGCTTAGCAACCCCCCCCCACCCCCACAGTTACCCCGGTAGAAATCCCCAAGCCTCATAAATCAACACCTGGGGCCTTTGCATACCCCTAAGAAGAACCCAAACGCACCCACCTAACCCTATCCCACCCAACCCATTGACCAGCCAGGTCCTACTTGCACATGGAGCCAACGTAAGCGCCGGTCTTAAGAAGGAGTACTGGTCATGGAGAATTGTTCATCTCCTTTCTGGCGGTTGATTCACAGCGGCCTGATGGTCGGGGGCTTAACATAAGCTTGGGGGTAAAAAGTCAGGCACTCTGCAACCGAAGAGCCCTCCACTGCACCTTTTCTGCCTTACGGCTAAGAAACCTCGAACCCTGCGGGGGTTCTTGAGGAGGGTCTGAAATGTCGACCCCGGATTGATGAACGTGGTGAGCTATGTAAACACTGTAATTACGGGACAGCAAGTGCGCCAACAGTTTTCGCCGAATCCCTCCAATCAAAATCAGCCTGTGGCCAACCAACCAACCAACCAACCAACCAACCAACCAACCAACCAACCAACCAACCAACCAACCAACCAACCAACCAACCGACCAACCAGAGGGTGTTTAGTTCCCTTTGGAAGCATTCAACGCGCCATTCAGCACCGTTGCTTTCTTGTTGCCTCCCCAACATGAGGTCATGGCTCGGAAACAGCAAGCACACCATTAAGCCAAAGTTAGAAACAGGAAATCCTCATAAAATGGTTTCCCTTTGGTTTCTCTTGGATAAAATGGTTTCCCCAAAACCCCTTCTACCGCAGTTGCCCTTTGGTTACCAACCCCAAAAGGGTGGAAATCCGCCTAAAAACCCAGCCACGCCCTACCGCCCCACCCCCCACCGGCCCGCCAGGTCCGGCAGAAACCCGCGGAACGGGTCCCTCGCGCGCCTGGCCCATGGTCTGCAGCAGCCGCAGTGGGCCCTCCACGGAGCCCCACAAGGCCGCCGGCAGCCGTGCCATGAGGCAGCGGAGCAGCGGGGCGCCGGGAGGACTCGTCCGCTTCTTGGGGACCCACATGGAAAAGATGAAACGGTGATCACCCTGGCCATTGCCAAACAAAAGTCGAAACCAGAGGGTGAAAAGGTCGACTCGCATTGAAACTCTGAGTTTTTGAGGAGCTTGAAGGGGGGAGCCTTGAGGGGCGGGAAAGTGGTGAATGACAGGGTAGAACTAAAATCCTTGGGAACCCAGCCTTCAATCTTTCAAAGGCTCGGAACAACTCTGAGTCTTAGTCAATAAGCGTCACCCTCAGGTTATGGGGGGATCCTGCTTGGGTTGCAGCTCATGAGCCCAATGTGTTGAGCACTTGTTCTCTGGGTGAGCATTTGGCACCAAGTTCTGGCGCCAAGTCTGCTGTCACGGTGAGCTTGCAACCCCGAGTAGCTTTAATGTGTCCTCTTTAAGAATCACCCACCAAAGAGTTGCTCAGTCACAATAGGCCCAACATGCGATGCTGAAGCATCCAGCAAGGTACAAGGACTCCTGCCTGCCGGAACATAAGCTGTCCGCGCGCTGCATCAAACCCACCTACAGCTTCTCAAGCCAGCGATTGAGCAGAATCTGAAGTCCGCCGGCAAGGGATCTCAGATTCCAGAATGGGAAAGCACTCAAAATCCAAACTTCAAGTCACCAAGGGTAAAGCTAATAGCTTGACATCCTGTTGAAGCAGCAAACCGCGATGAAAACGAAGTCGTGGCCCGGTCTGGTCCCTCCAGCCTGGCAAAGCCAAAAATATCCCTTTTCCGGGAATGGGTCGGGTCGAACAAGTCCGAACCTGCACATTACCACCAGCATGCTTGTCCCCAGAAGTGTGAAGTACAGGAACTCGGGGGGGTGAGCCTTCAGCGAGCTGGACGGCTTCATCGGCTTCGGCCGGGCCCAGAACAAGAGAGGCTCCAAGAGACCGGGAGACAAACCCTGCCATGGCCGCATGAGGATGCTGGCGTCGACCATTTAAAAAAACATAGCACGGCATCTGCTCTAGCCGTCAACGGCCTTTCTTGACTGAAACTAAGTCGAAAACGCTCCGAAAGGAACGGGATCCGACGGGTTTCGGGCAACAGGTGCAAACTCGGGTCGGAAGGATATCAGCGGTTTGCCCGTGCCACAAAACTGGCAACCCTCACGGTACTTTTTGGCCAAAGCTCAAGGGCGAAGGATCCAAGGGCCCCGGCGCCGGGGGCTCTCAAGGCGGGGAAGGCCGGGGGAACAAATTGGGTGGGGAAGTCTATGCTTCGATCAGACGGAAAACACCAAGCATGGATTCGCTTGCGATCACCTCCGCTTAGAAGTGATTGCGTTCAACCCCACAGAGGGTATGATGGTTTGAAGTTTGCTCTTCCAGTTTCCCTGCTATTCGTGGTTTGGAGGTAAGGGGGCATCTTCCAACTGGCCTCAACTAGGGCTAGGGGCTTCAAATTCACAAACCACCAAATCCAAATCGCCAATTCGTGGTGACATGTGTTGTGGTTCCGCCACCACCCAACACAACAACACTGGTTCCTCCTATAAAAATGCTTGGTTCTGGACTGGTCCATTCAGATTTGTCTTAGAACGTAATCCTCAAGCCTCCCCAGAGCTACCAGCCTCACCCACTTTCCGCACTTCCCAGCGGGAAACTGAAATGGCCACGATACATGGAGCAAACTATGAACACGCTGGTGTGAAGTACATGTTCAATAATAGAAACAATCACAGTAACACAGTTGTGCACCAAATGGGGAAGCGTTGTAGTAGAAGTTGTATATGTATACATATGTGTAGAAATAGAAATATGCATACGTATCGCATATAGGAAGCTTCCGCACATGAGGAATATGTCCGCTTTTCCCAACCGTCATGGAGGTCGACAAACATGCATTGCAAGACTACCATCAACTTCAAAAGGCCGCCTGTGCACTTCCAGGATGGTTGGACATGGGGTCGACCCTTTGAAACACATGACTTTCGTTCCGGACTCGCCCGCTTTGTTTTTCACCTGCTAGAAACTAACACAAACATAGCCCTGATTCTACACCGAGCACCTGTAAATAACACACTGAATATGTGTGAGTTGGCTACCAAAATCAGCTTCCCTCTTGTGGTTTGGGTGGTTAAGGAGGGGTTTCCCATTTACCCTCCCTTGCCAGGGTTCAAATCCACCACCAATCCAAACCAACAACGAAGAGGTACCTGACAAAAGGCAACGAATGAAACAGCACACAGCCACTCGCCTGTCTCCTCCTCATCCTCCTCCAGGACTCTTTCCAAAGGCTCCTGACGGAAAGCTTGGCCCAGGGGGGGGGGCCAAGGTCGTCTTCCGATTCCGCTGGTGGATGGCGTGATGGGTGCAAAATCCGGTTCGCACCCAAAAGAAACCATGGGGTTGAACCATGACATCGGCTGGCATTTGCCTTTTGGGGGGTCATTCCAGGGTTAGGTGCGACCATCCACTGTATTTCGCCTGACCCTGGAAGAATATGGAATGGTTTTGGAGACCCCGGTCAGAATGTGCAGTGGACGTGGATGAGGTGCAAAAATATGAAACAAAGAATGTGGAGGAAGGGTTGTAACCGAGGTGCCATAACGTGAGACACTTGGAACATACTCCAAAATTCGGCTGGTGCACAGGCGAATCAGAAAGGCATGTTTCAGCAGTCGCAACAATTTCCGTCAGGAAGAAATAGAACATGGTCTCCAAACACTGGGCAAGTTCTAACATGTCAACATTCCAAAGAAGAGAGGCCATCAATGCATGAGCTTCTTGCAGCCCCGTGCCCATACGTGAATTGGGGAATGAATGGGGGGTAAGTATGGTCGGGAACAAGTCCCAAGGGCTTCACGAGAAAGGTGCGTCAAAGAAACCACCTACTGTATGGAGTGGGACCAAGTTGTTTGGAGTACCCAAAGGTTCGGTCGAACGCCCTCTTTCCAACAACGGAAGCTAAAGGCTTTGGAGAAGCCCCCCCACCCACTTTTTGTCGGACAAAGGGCAGCCTATACATAACAATCCATAGCGTCTATATGAGGAACCCTAGGAGGAAAACGGGTGAATGGCATCATGAAGCAAGGTACTTTCGACTCTCCAGCGGAAGTGGCCTGGGTAGAAACTTGGGATGAATCACATACATGAAGCCCTGCTATGAACTGGATGCTCTTCTGAGTGCATCTGACTCCTCATGAGCTCACCAAATGGGGCCAAACTTGGGCTGGGAGAAACCAAGGCCCAAATCCCACCACCCCCCCTCTTTCTGCCGGGTACCGGAGCCGATTTTGTCGTTGTGGGCCATGGCCGCGCACTCAACCAAGAAAAGCCAAAATCAAAATTGGGGGTCCCCCCAAATTAAATGGTTTTCCTGCTGGCTTCTCCCTTTAGCAACCCCCAGCAAGGTGCCCTAAGAACGACATGTATATCATCTGCATGCCCATGGGCACATATGTATGTATACATATACAAGTATAGATACATACAGGTTGCTACACACAAATATATAGTCACATATATATATATATATATATGTACATACGCATATGCATATGATGGATACAGTGGATAGCCAAAAAAAAAACACGCACCAGTTGGGATAGCAGAAGCTTTCTGAATACTTGGGTAAGCCACCTACCAACTGTTCACGTCTACTTTGTTGGCTTGGTGTCCCTGGGTTGAGTGGGGAATCATCACTTGTGGAGGGGAACACCCCCCGTTATTGATCAACTGGGGTCGATTAATATGGGGTGAACATTACCCATAAAGGGAATTCACCCCAAATGAGCTCCCCGGAACTCATCCAGGACGGACCCTCGAGCCGCTGTTGGGATGCGCCCCGTCCTTCAGGAGGCTGTCCTTCTGCAGTATCTCCAGGACTTTGTCGTGCTTCTCCGGGGACAAGGGCCGCTCCTAACGCGCGCGAAGGCGGAAGGAAACCAAAAAAGACCACCGACGAGAACCCAGAAATCCCGGGGAAACTCCCGCTAATGGTTGGTTTTGAAGGGGACCTGGAGGAAACCAAACCGGTGGCTGGAAACGGGTAACGGGTAGAGCACCAATCACTTGTTGGGTGTCCAATTCTGGAACCCAAATCTGAGCTTCAGGTTGCAGCTGGGGCCACCATGGCGCTGTTGCAGGCATGCTGCCAACAAACACTTCTGGGAATTGGAGGGTTCGGAACCAAAGGCCCCGAATTCTTCCCCCCCCAACCAAAAACAAATCGGATCAATAGGAAACCTACCCCTTCCAGGCGCAGATGCAAGGTGTACGCCCGGATCCAGCATCCACAGACAAGGATCACACGGGAAAGGCCCGAAAGGATGACACGCATAGACCCAGTTTGACACTTGGTCCGTGCAACGCTTGCAGTGCTTAGAAGTGGAAGCAAGCCGGTCCTTCGTCTCTCGCGCGTCGTCTCGCTTCTCGTCATCCTCTTCTTGCTTGTCCCCGTACTCCTATCACCACTGGGTAGAAGCGGGCCATGCTGAACAAACTCAGAGGGCTCGATGTTCGGTACGGTTACGCTGCGTCCAAACGAAATCTCAACGACCTGGAAGTTGCAAGAATCGGGGAGGCCCAAACAGGTGGGTGCCCCTTTCGGCAAGCAACAATGAGCCTGCATCGGAAGCCACCTGCATCTTCCTGTGCAATGCTGCAATGCCCCTGCTTGGGCGCATTGCGTAAAGTTGGAAACTAGGCTGTGCTCGCTCCCAGTCTTTCAGGGAATCCATCTTCTTCAGAAAACGGCCAAACTCCAGAGAATGTGGTGGCGGGGCCGGGGGAAAAAACAACTGGATTTGCGAACAACCAGAAGAATGGCGTTGTCTTCATTAGTTCTTCCAATGGAACCCGCAGGGAGGTGCCTGGTTCCCATGCTGTCAAGGGCTGGCGCTTAAGCTGAATCGCCTCTCGCCTCCACCAGGGCTCGGCAGGCACGCTGCACCAGCAACACCGGGTCCTGGCTCCAAGATTGCGGACAACCAAAGCTTTCACATCTCGGGGCGCGCAGTTGTTGGCACGGTCATGGAAACCACTCTTTCCGAAATACGAAATACCGCACGGGGCGAACCCCATGACGCTGATGCTACGGGGAATCCCGCATCATAGAAAGTTGCAAGCTAACACCACAAGTTCCACCAGGCTGAAACGAAACAGGGCTCCTGATATGTCCCCCACCAAGAAACACTCACCTTTCATGGGCGAAAACACGAAAAAGGTGATGCTTAAAACCACCAACAAGGGACATATAGGGACCCCGGTGCAACCTTGGCAAGTGCCAGGGACCCCCCAGTCCTGCAAGCCACTTGGGAGTCCCCAGGAAACCATTTCCAGTGCTGTCTGACTTACAACTTGCTGGTGTGACAGGGGATAAGGGAATGAAACTGAAGGCCTGCTTTGAAGGGAAAGCAAAGGTCAGATGATTTAGGAACCATTTCGCTTGCAGAGAACTGGAGAGTGTTCAAAGGGTTAGTAATGTTGGTAAACAGGTTTCTCCCTGACCTTTAGATGGTACAAAACGACGAGACAAACACCAGGCCTTCGCACAGTCATTTTCCAAGGGGGTTCTGGCTGCAGGCTAATGTTCTAAGAAGGATCCTCTGAAGAGAATGGTGAGGGCACCACAAGATTCATGCGCCGACTAGCGTACTGTTCACCAACCTGCATGGATCTCACAGATAACCCCTAGTGACCTCGCTACAATCAAGGCAAATTAAGTCAGACAAGTCGATTGAAACATCGCACTCAAAGTGAGGTTGACAAAGGCGAGACCCAAGCCTCTAGTGGTTTTCTAGTGGCGAAAAACGGCCATCTGTGGTGGGCAACTGGATGTTGACATTGTTCACGGGACGTCCACCCGAAACAAGGAAAAAGGACACAGACCATCTCAGGAAGGCCGCGCGGTCGGCTCCCACTTTCGAGCCGCTTGTATTTCATTGATTCTCTACTCTTGGTATGGTAGCAAAAACCTTGTTTTTTGCAGACCCCCAGTAAAAATGAACAGAACCAAAACACTAAAAAACCAAAAAACATGCCAAGAACAGTGAAGTCATTGATTCGTTGCCATCAAGCCCCTGAGTGCCGAAGTGCCGAAGTGCCGAAGCGAGCTGCACTTTTCAACATGCAGGTGCTGAGCGTTGGTTGCAATCCGGGCTCACCTTTGTACGCCGGAAGAACTCATTGAACTGTAGTTCCCGACATTGGCAAAACTCCACAAAGCAGAGCGGTCAGATCTAAGATCTTCAATCCTTTGCAGGGGACACGGTTGTTCTATCGGCCTCATGCCAAGTCTACTGGGAAATGACATGTTGTGTTTTTGTTGGCACCCTTTAGAGTAGCCTTGGTTCCCTAAACAGCTTCAGCGACCGGAATGGCTCACAGTATTGTCAACGTCTGGTTGGATGCAACAAGCAAGAGAAACCACTAACAAACATAACATCAGCTTCCCTCTGATTCGTCGTTTGATTGATGGTTTGGAGTTTGGAAATACGGGACGTATCCCATTTCCCCTCTACAAGAACCAGGGTTTCAAACGCCCAAACAACCAACATAAACCACCAATCAAGTGATACCTGCTACTACTGGACTGCTGCGCGCGCCAAGTTGGTCCTCTTCGCTCGGGCTCGGGGTGGGACGGTTGCTTCTGGAGCCCTTGCGCGACAAGGCTTGGCCCATTCGCTCTGGCCTGAGCGGCAAATGTCTCAAGTTGGAGACTTGGAGGTGACCTTCTCATGACCTTCCTTCCTTTCAAGGCTAGCCTCCTTGTGGCTTCCTGAGAAAAACTCAAAGGGCTTTGTCCGCAATAGCAATCAAACAAACCAAACTCCGAGAAAACAAAAAAGCAACAGCCACTCAAGAGGCTTCCCACGTGGAGAACCACCTGGAGCCCGGACTTTTCTGAGGAAATGTTCAAGTAGACATGGAGGCATCCCTTTGCATGCCAATCCCTTCGCCATTTTTTGGCATACGGTCCCTTTCCAATAATCGTGTGCATGAAAAGGTATCTGCTCGTGGGCAACACCACCAAGTAGAGGAAATGCATCAAAACGCAGGAGATTCATAAGCTGGATCTCTTTTAGGGGAGTCGAACCCCTTTCAACCTAGCAGACTGTTCAACAACCCTGAACATGTGCAGAAAGGTGTTCAAAGACCACCATAATCTTCAAAAGGTCCCAGATTCACTTCCATCCTTGTCTTAGTCCCTAATCCACAACCCACAGTGGGACGCCAGTACAACAAGGGTGAAACCCCACCCACCTGACACAATGACAAATCTGAGCCGGAAAAGTACGGTGGCAAACCAGCCCAACAAATCAGGAAAGTCGGAAGCAAGCGGCAAAGTTTTCTAAATCCTAGTTTCTAATGGAGAAACGGAACCGTCAGACCCCCCTCCCAGGTACAAGCTCAAGCAAAGCCTCTTCCAGGACAGCTGTTGGGATAAGGAGTGGGACTGACTTCGAATAAGACTGTTGGAACAAGGGTAGCTTTCAAATAGTTGGCTGAAGGAAAGCTTGCTCAACAGGACTCTGGAAACGCTTCTCGCGCGTTTTCCTGTGCCATGCCGCAGCCGAGCCACGTAATCACCCGGTCCTTAGCCCGGCGTAGTCTCACGAGCCGCTTGTCATGGGACGTTGGCCCCCGACTGACCAAAGTGCAGTTGCCCATTTCAGGCCCCGTTCAAAATGAAACTAAATCCTTGAGCAAAACGTCGGAGCCCCACTCCCAGGACATTGCAAAGGCGCAGGCGAAACTACGGTACAGAGAAGGAATCCAGGGAAGCCATCAAACTACATCTTCACGTCCCTTCCTGATTTGCTTAAACTAATTATGTGCTGCTTCGAAAGTTACATTCAAAAGACGTGGGAAATCGCAGGAGGGTCGACCAGGTGGAGCCGTGACCCAACACGCCCCAGCGTTGATCCTAATGTGCCCGGTGTTGATTTCAATTTGCCCCAGCGTGTTGAGCCCAGCGTTGATCCCAATGCGCCCCAGTGTTGATCCGAATGTCCCCAGTGTTGACCCCAATGTGCCCTGGCGCTGAGCCAGGTTTGATCCAAATTTGCGCAGTGTTGATCCCAGAGAACCCAGCGTTGATCCAAATGTGCCCCAGTGTTGACCCAATGTGCCCCAGCGTTGAGCCGAGACGCGCCCAGCGTTGAGCCCAATGTGTCGACAGTGCTGAGCCAACTGCGCCCTAGTGTTGAGCCCAATGTGCCCAGTGTTGACCCCAACGCGCCCAGTGTCAAACCCAACCCAATGCGCCCAGTTCATGATCCCGCTGCCGCGGATACCTGAGTCAAATTCCAAAAACGAAACCCTTCACCCACCCCCAACTGGTTGGTGTCCGTCTGGACAGTTCACGGCCATAGACATTCAACGAGCAATACAGGGTCAATGGGAAAACAGGAATCATAAACAAGTGGTTAATTAGTAGGGGCGTCCCAGTTTAGAGAGGACTCTTCACTCTTGGTGACATACCGTGAATTACCCTAAAGATCCACAATAGGCGGATTAATCCGGGGTCGACAGAGGCTGAAAGAAACCTAGTCACTTAGATTTGGAAACAACAAAACAAACACATACGAACACTGCCTGCTAGCCAAAGGAAAAAATAGGAACGCGTTGTTTCCCCCCGACGCTCACACACGAAAGGCTACATAGCCTCCAAATAAAACAACCTCCGAACCCCAGAAAGGGACCGAAGCCGTGAAAACAAAAGCTGAGACCGAAGCCGTGCGCGCACTCTCTCCCCAATGGACCGCCAGGAAATGTCTAAATCGCAGGGGACCCTTTAAAAGGAAGATGGTCTGCCAGGATTTATCTTGTCAGGTTCCATGTTAATTGGTGGGAGGGTATCTTTCAATCAATGCATGTGAACATGGCTTTTTGTGGCCGACCCCCTCTACCTCAAAAACCAACCTCAACAAAGCCTCAAGGGCAGGCGGATGCTGGGCGCTAAACCAGTCGTTTGAGAGAAATCGAACTCATGGGCTATTCAGCACCCAGTATGTATAGAAAGAAATGAAACTCTTCACTTCGAGTCACGGGTGTTCCCGTCTCCGTTTCAAGCTGTGTTTTTTGAGAAGTTTCCGGACCTGAACCGCTGCTACCGTGTTGCCTGGCGGATTGACGTCTGACAGTTGCGAGGTCCCTTGGGCTCTGCTGGATAACCAACGGCTTGCCAAGCCAGGAATAGTGGGGAGTCCCTTTATCCGGGCCCCCACACGCTACCCAACTACTTATCCACATGAGCCCAAGTGACGCTTACATCACACGAGGGGACATAAGCAAGTGCTCCGTTGACTAAAGGTCAAACTGTTGGTTTGTCATAAACCCCTCTAAACTCCCAAAAACAACCTAGTGCTAAAGGCGAAACGTCCAAACGTCTAAAAATCGGGAAAAATAAGAAGAGAAAAAACAAAAAAGGGAAAAACAAAAATCAACAACAACAAAAAACAAAAACACAAAAAAAAGTATAAAAGCCCCAAAGTCTAAACATGGGGCATGGCCAGCAGAAGTCGAGGGGTCCAAATTGTCTTACAGTGGCAGCCAAAGATGTCACCAGCTGAATTTCCATTGGACCGGACCCGTAACATTGTTGTTGTTGTTTTTTTTTTTGCTTTGCCACCCCAAAGAAAATAAAGGTACCTTTAAAATAAAGAGCTAAAGCTTTGCCACCCCAAAGTAACTTAAAGGTACCTTTAAAGACCTTCAAAAAAAGAACGACGCCCCCCGCGAAAGGCGTGACCGGAGACCCCCCGGGTCTTGCCGCGTCTCTGTGGCGGTGCGGTTCCCGTAGCGCACCGGCTGCAGCCAGCACATCATGTCCCAGTCGCTGCGGCCCTAGGACTCGAGGCTCGAGTTGCCAAGCCAAAACTTGCGGGTGCTCAGTGCTCAGTACTTGGATGACGTTGGAAGGGGAGCAAAAAACACCAATTCTAGCAGTTTACTCGGGATTTCACACGGGCAACAACTTGGCAAGCAAAAAAATCCAAGCAAAAACTTGCTGGTGCGATAGGTAGGGAATGACCCAGGGATTAGGCATGAAGGTAGGGATTCCGTTAAAGGATAGGTCCTCCAGCAGAGAGAGATTAGTATAAGGGTACCTTTTTTTTCTCTGTAGTCTATTTCAGTAGGGGAACCCTCCCCCCAACAAAAGGGTAAAAGGGCACTACTGGGGGACCTAGAAGGACCCCACTTGGATGGCAAATAGGACTCATTCCAACTCATTCCCTGCCTATCGAGCCAGCAAGCAAAGGGTTCCATGGGTGCCACTCATCTCCGAACTGAGAGCGGCGCTTCGCGTTGGGGCTAGCCCCCCTGTGCGCCTTTGGTGCCCTTCCAGGTTTCATCGACCTGTGGCCTTTGCGCCTTGGAGGCTAAGCTTGTAACGTGCAAATGGCTTCAGTACGCCTAGGCCAACATGAAACAAAAGGCTGTGGTTCCAACAAAATACTGGGAAGCCCTAGGGCAAGCACTTTCCGTGAGCACACCCTGCTCCCCTGTCGGCTACTGATTGAAATGAGGTGAACAAAACGGAGCAACCTTTCGCGCACTTCCGCGCACATTGCAAAACTACACACAAGTTGGGGCCGGCTTTTGATCAATGTTTTCAGTTACTGACCCCTCCGCATCTCTTCCGCCCTTCGGCGTCCCTTCCGCGCAGTGGGAAGCTGATGCCATGTAATCCTCAAAATTCGGAATACTAAACCGAATACATGGATTTTAGCACGACGCCCAAATGGCCGCGGTTGGTTTACCGTTCTTTCCCCTCCAAACCGGCAACAAGGGAGGTTGCCGGCTGTAGGAACCTAACCTCTCCCCCGCACACAGTGAACCTGCTACATCCACAGGAAATACAAAGTGAGGAGGATGAGGTCGTTGTCCATGTGATTCACAGGTGATTGCCTGTTTGCCAAAGCACGCCGTATGTTCGATTATGTTTGTTTACCGCTAAAATTGTCTCCCCCTCGAAGGAAACATGCGTGCCACGGGCAACTGGGAGGTAGACTGCGTCAAAGCATGCCCAGGGCATTGCAATGCTGTGATTTTATTCATTGCTTGCAGGTGACGGAACCTGAAACAAAACAACAAAATAGACAAAGAGAGAACTCTTCTGCAGAGCCCGAGCTCATGGGTTAAAGGTGTCTTCTAGCGCTTGTGTAGTTACTTGTCCAGAAGCTTGCACAATTGTCCACTTTCCACATCTATCATTCTACCTGTCAGTTTTCACCACATCCCAAACAACAAACAAACAAACAACTCAAACAAGGAAGTTGTGCCTTGGGTAGCAACAAGCTACACAAGCCACGAGCAGTTCTTTGTGACAACCTTGAGGCTAGCACGGGGTTGACCACGTAGTCCTCATCCGACATGAGCCTCGGGTCCCACATGACCCGAACGGGTGCAAACGTTGGCAGGATTCAGTAAGCCGGGCAACACAATTCTTAGCTTTAGGCTTTAGCTTTAACGGCTTGCCTGGATCCACTTGGGCGGAAAACTTGGGCAACGGATCCAACGCCCGCAAAAGTGACAAAGCAAAATCAAGGGAGCCCAGAAGTGCAAGCCGGCTAGACAGTCAGATCGGGAAATGACAAATTGATGCTCCTTTCCAACATTCGAGAAGGAACACACCCTATAATAGTCTATATATATATATATACATACATATCATATGACATATGCATTGTAGCACCGTACCCTGGGTTGACAAAACATGGGCATCCTGCAGAATGACAAACCTCCAGCTTTTGCCCTACCATCCGGCGAAAGTCGTGCTCCAGGGGCCTTCAATGAATGGGGTTGGAAGACTGCTATCCTCTTGAAAAGCCGTTTTGCAAATAACCGTTGACCCAAATAAGCCTGATGAGGGTCCCCTGGACACCCTTCCCCTCTGCAATTTCCTGTCGGACGGCAATAGAAAGTAAGAAGGATATGGCATTTGCTGGAGCGGTCATGACGAAATTTGATCTGCCATGGCGATCCTTTGAACAATGAAGCATCGCAGCATTGAACGAAGTACTGGAATGTTGTCTTGATTCTCTGAGGGGGGAAGGCTACCACTATCCGGTTTGGGGTTTGGTGCACACCAAAAGAAACGTTCCAACATTGTCTGAAATGAGCATAACCCCAAAAAACCTTGGTGAGGCGTCTCGGAGGGGAGGCGGGTTGCATCAGGGGATCACAAATCAGGTTCCAACATTGCAGCTCGGTTGCTTTCTGCTCCCCTGCTTAAAGTTTAACTTTTAAGGTTTAATGGGAAACCCATTTGTTGGCAAACAGTTAAAGTCCTAACATCCAAGCAACATGCACCAAAGGCAGTGTTGAGCCATGCAAATTAGTACCACGCGAAACCACCACAACGCAAACGTAATGTGGAGGACTCAAAGCAAACCGCTGGGGACCGAAGAAACTACTCTTTCCGTACCGCGCTGGGCGAGCCCCGTAACGCTGATGCTACGGGGAATCCCGCATCCCAGAAAGTTGCAAGCCAACCGAACAAGTTCCACCAGGCTGAAACACTGAACCAGGGCTCCCTATATAGCCTATATATTTATATGTCCCTTAAAATTCATCACCCCCCACCGAGGGATACTCACCTTTCATGGGCCAAGAAGGCGGTTCTTTTTTGGCACCGGGCCCAAGTAACACGGAGCCGGGAGTCCCGAGCTCTCGTCGCATCCAGGGCGGCAGCACGCTGAGGTCCCGGACCTCATCCGGGGGATCCGCTCGAGTGGAGCGACATCTGAGTCGCAACTTGGTGGTTTTTGACCGCTCGGGGTCATGGCTGATGGACCAAAATGGGAAAACCCAAAAGGTCAAAAGGTCGACTTTGGGTTTAGTAAACATGTCTCTTCCCCAAAGGTGCAATGTACACGAACTCGAGTGGACAAAATGCTCCAAGGCCCTGTCAAACTAACTTTTAGTGGGCTAAATTGAAACTAGCAATAAACACTAAAAGGCTAAAAGGCTAAAAAGCTAAGGAACCGGATGGGAGCCACCAAGATCCTGAAGCTTTGCACATAGTCACTTTCGCACCTGGTGCAGACTTCTGTCCAGCCAGTGCCAGAAAGGGGATTCGGATTCCGCCAAACTCAGCATTCGCCAGCGAACAATCATCTGGATTCAACCCAAGATGCTTCGAACATTTCGATCAAGACTCCTGCAAATGAGGCATCCAAAAGAGGGCCTTGCCCAATCCGAGTTCACACACCACCAGTTCAATGCAACACAAACAGCGACTAGTTGCCCTCCGCCCGGACTCCGCCCCCGTTTCGCTGGTTCCCCTTTTTGCAAACCATCCTTTTACGGTCCTTTTTACGTGCGACCAGCTTGAATAAGAAAACCTCAAACACTGTCTACCGACACACCCGCGCCAAATCAAAGGATGAAATTCGCGGCACCATTTGGTTTGGCTTGTGCCCTTCCGAGCCTCCTACAAGTCTACGTTCTCACCTCGGCTTTTTCGACCAAAATTCAGATTCTTTGAGTTTCAGGCTGTATGTGAACCTTGAAAGGAAACATGGGCTTTCGAATATGATCCCGAACCCTTCTTTCATTTTGTGGGGGTTGTTTTATGGCCAGGGTTTTGGGGTACTGCTTTCCTGAACGCAAGTCGAAAAGACCAAAGGTATGGCTGCTAACCGCCCTTTCAAAACTTGGGCGCTGTAAATCCCCAGCAAAAAGTTTAACTTTTTGCTGGTCAAAAGGAAATATGAGGGGAATCCAAAAAGTTCAAGTCTAAAGATCCAACCCAATAGCAGTGGAGAAAAGGTGCCGTCCACCAAGAATTACTCAGAGAGGTAGGGATGGAGCAAATGTCCAAAGCCCGCCTGCCGGGTCTTGGAGATCTTGCGCCGGCCCTTGCGCAAGTCCGGCGTGGGAGTAAAGCGCCTGGCGGAAAGCGCGGGCGTCAGATTCATCTGGCCGAGCTGTGCCCTGCGAGCCTAATTTGGGCAACTCGTTGAATGGGCTCTAACAGTTGGAAAGGTTCCTTGTAAATGCTACACACGTTCATCTGCAAATGTTACTATAGTTCCAAGTCGGATTTAGGGGATCCCCAAGTAAAGGAGCTTTATCATGGTGAGCTCGCTATGCCCCCGAATTGGATCCCCTGATTACTAGACCTCAGGCTGCTCTAAAAACTGCTCTCCTTCAGGGAACTCCATGGAGGCAGGAAGGTCACTCAAAATACCTTTCACTCTCCAACAAACCTCATCTTCCACCACCTCGCTAAACTAGGTCCTTTACTAGAGACCTAAAAAAAACAAAAACGTGAAAAGCCATGCTTTGCTAAGGGCTTGTAAGCATATCGGACAACACATGCCCTCCGTGGACCTCCGCCCCCCCTCCCCCCCCAAATCGCCTGCCTCGACACTTAAGGAACCCTACAACTCCCCCTCTGAGAAAATGGGTGGCCATGGCCCTCTGCATACGCAGCTCATGGTGATGTTGTTCTTCCTCTGCCGGGGTGTGTTTAACCTATAGCCGAAATATCCAGAACACCCGACACACAAGGTGCTTTGTTTTGTTGATTCGCGGAATTTGTGCAACAAACACACCCCAAAACAAACCAATCACACATAAACATAGCGATAAAAGCGACACCACAAAAACACCGAAACCTCCTTGAACCCTCCGGAAACCCGCCAGCTCCGAACCAGCCAGATATCTGGGCAGGGAACCCCAAAGCTTCCGGCTGATGCCAAAGACCATGGGCTGCCTAGTCTTGGCAACCCACTTGACACCTGATAAGTTGAAATGTCCATCCCATGAAACGCCAAATCCAATTGTTCAAGAAACAGCCAGACCCATTGTCCCGGAAACAGCCAAAACCAATCTTCCAAGAAACGGCCAAACTCAACTTTTCAGGACACAGCCACATCCAACGTTGCAAGAAACAGCAAAATCCAACGTTGCAAGAAACTGCCAAACCCAACATTCGAATGGTTTCCAACTTATAACATGTTCCAGCACATGGGTTCCTTTCGGATGCTAAACACATGACTGTCCTTCGGAACCCGTTTGTTGAAACCCGTTTCACCAGGGTGTCCTGATAATGCTGTTGCCCAAAGTGTCATGTGGCACTTGAAATATGTTGCAAGCGGGACAGATGGATAGGTGCGCTCCAAAGACGGAAGGGTAGAAAGATGGTTACGGAGAACAAAGGCCTAATCCCATGTTCCACCCGGTCATGAAGTCATCTTACAGAGGTTTGGGTCAACCTTGCTAAGGGCGAGAGCAAGGTGCGCCTGGGTACATGCCCAATGCCAGCAACGGAAAACACATAAAGGGTTTTTCTCAGGGGTACCTCCAGTGGCACGTGATTGAGCCCTTACAGCTCCAGCCCCTAAAAACCCGGACCCCGGACGCCGGGCCCCGCGCGTGAGGGAAGTGGACCTAGAGCTCGTTCCGGAAGAGAGGCCCTAAACGCGCGTGGCGGAGGTGAGACGCTGGCAAGGCAGAGCTTCACCCCACGAATCCGCAGCCCAAGACCTGAATCTGCAGTGCTACTCAAGCTTGATTCCTGTGGATGGTTGCGAAATCCATTTCGCACCACTCAAGAAACCCTGGTTTCTGTTGATTCCCCTGTAAATACCAACAAACCTTATGGTTTCAACCATGGTTTCAATTGGCGAATCCACAATGTTTCTGGGTCACTTGGACAGTGATAGTGCCCACCCAGGGACCCATGCAGCGCACCTGATGGTAGAGCCCCAATCGGATTGTGGTCAGACACGTTGTTGTTGATTAGATGTCGCTGCGTTGCCCTTGCAGAAAACCCATCACATGAGACTCATCTGCTGACAGTATTTTTCACATGTGAATCGCATCCAAAACGAAGAATCGTGGAGCCAACGAAAACCAGTGTAGCAGAACAGCCCTGTGAAGGAACCACGTCTGCTGTGTTAACTTTCGGGGTGATGGGAATGTCGACGGCTCTGCCGATCTCTGATACTAGACATTTTTCTCCGTCTCTCTCTCTCTCTCTCTCTTTCTCTCCTTGTCCTTCTCGATCTCTCTCTCTCTCTCTCTTTCTCTCTTTGTCCTTCTCGATCTCTCTCTCTCTCTCTCTCTCTCATCACCGATTTTCGTGGGATTGTCTCAAAATAGGGCACCCCCGGAACAAGACATGTGTCCTTTTGGTGTCCCTAGGTCCCATTAAAAAAACATTTGGCAGACCCACTGAGAGGCCCGCAGTTCGCAGCAACCGAAAAATGTGAAACCGGGTCAAGCTTGAAAAGAAGAGCTTCCAAGCACTTACCCCTTAAAACTCCAAGCCCTGGGGAAGTTAATCTTGTACAGACATGTAGCCCATGTTACCCAAAAAGTTGAAGAGGTAAGAGCACCTTGAGGAAAATACAGCCATGGGCCTTTTGCATTGGCTCGTTCCCAAACACCAGGGCTGCGGCAGACTCGCTTTGCCCGTCCTGCATGAAGGCTCACGGCTGGTTGGGTTAGCACTTGAGATGTGGGTATGGGTCAAAACTAATCCACCAGGAATTGGACCAGGTTTAGTCCTAGGTTCCCGCGAATGCTACCACGAAACCTTGAGCGAGTCACAAGCTTGGGCCAAGTGCCAGGTGTAGCCGTCCTCGGCTTCGTCTGGATGAGCCACTTTATAGTCCATATCCTCGAACAAGCCTTGGCAGGGATGCTCCGGGCAGGGGATGACTAAAGCAAAATGACGGAGTTGTGCCCACTTTCGCCCATAAGTGGAAATCTACGCCTGATTTGGCCCATGGTCCATTTCTAAGGGGCGCGGGCCTCACATTGAAAGTCCCACACACACAAAAAACTGAGGGGGAGGGGCTAAACTCGTCCCCACCAAAACCCGCCCAGGTCAGGCCCAGCCACCGTCCGCCTGCCCACGAAAATGCTTTCTTCCGAGGGGCCGAGATCTAGGCGCCAGCCACGGCCCTCGCCGCCGGGGAGGAAGGGCTTCCCGCGGTACTTCTTCGCGCCTCGGAGCTCCAAGGCTCGGCTCTGTGGCTCCAAAGATTTGCAAATCCCATGGCCCAAGGGGGGCTGCGAACATACCAAGCACCAAACTGCCCAAAAGTTCAAGGTCTGAACAGGGATCCGGATGCATTATACACCTGAACATGGCCTTGTAAATGGTGGATGCCCTTTATTTTAGTGGAAAGAGCCATGTTTTAAATGGGCAACATGTATCTTTTAAGGAGCCCTGCTGAATGTACCAAGGGTGAGGTGACATTATTAAGTTCACCGCTGACATAATGATTATGATAGATTTCAGCGACAAGCATGTTCACAAAGGAATATGCATTTGCGGAGGAGGACGAGCTGAAGAACAACATCCTTGCATTAAATATCATGCAAGTATCAGCAAGTCTATCGACTGGATCACGGAGTCTTCACAAAAGCAATAGTAGGAACACGACATCGGGGAAGCCGTGTTCACTAGCCTACTTCTCGCATAAAAAAAAATAAAATAAAAAAAACCCATGTGACTGGCACTTGCTCCTGCTGGTCTACATCAAAGTCCGAACAACAGAAGAAGAACCAGCTCAAGAATCAGGACTGGTGGAATCAACCCAAGCAGTATGATCATAAGAGATACTACAACAAGGCCAACGACTACGGCGAATGGAGAAAGTATGACAAGTCCTGGAATGACGACTGCTTCACCGATGGAAGCTACCACGGCAGCTATCACAACAAGTTGTGGTGCTGAAGGCCACGAGGACAAACGCTGCTTCCCAACGCAATCAGCACCCACCATTTCGCAACAACCGATGGCACGACAATATGAGAAACCAATAGACACACTCTCAACATCAGTTCTTTTGACATCGACTAGAAGACTATTCCAATTGCGACGTCCACCTCATCGCCTACAAACTTATCCTGTCTGAGGTGAGTGAGTCGATAGTTTCACACGGACAGGGCAATGCATCGTCGCACTCAATAAGGTGCATATCCATCTTGACACATCAGGTGTAAACTTGTTCTTGCCATTTTAATGTGCGAACTGCAGCACGGTTGCAATCCGTTGACAGGACAAATGCAAAGGCAAATCCAGCATGTTCGAGGCACAAACTCGAGTGACCCTTTTGAATCATGCTCGAAATCAATCTAAATATTATTATTTTTTTTAATATTATTTGTTTTTTCTCTGAATGGCAACGGCCCGTATAAATATGTTGCCACGGTAAAAAGTATAGATCATTGAGATACGAATTCGAAGCTTGAGGTCAAAATAAATTCGTGTCGGGTTTGTTCTTTTTTTTTAACCGAGTAATCCTCATGCAATCAATGACGTGTATCAGCATGCCATCTGGTAGCTTCTTGCGGCGTTGCACTAGCTCTTGTAGCTTACATTCCAATCAGCAAGAAAATGGTAACAGCCACTCACGTACCAGGGACTTCCAATTGTACTCCTCACCATCCGACATCAGGAACAAATTTCCGGGCTGAGACTGCCACCACACGGGGTATCTTATCCTTCGGATTAGTTGCACATGGGCAGGGAAGGTCGGCATCAGACGTTGGCTTATTGCGATGGCTCAAAAAGCCAAGTGGCGCAACCCTTGGATGCGCTGCTTCGCCGCTTCCAGGCCCGCATCGTACCTCCGAAGACTTATGGAGGTAGTATGGAGGTAGCTAGGGGCGTCTTAGACTTAAGTGGTTGGTAACCAAGGTTTTGAACCACGAGGGTTTTTCTTTTGTTGCATCGAACGTTGGCCAAAAGGTCGTGGAATATCCAAAGGCTCTAAAGGTTGGCTGCGGCCTTTGGGCTCATAGGGAACGGTTCCCATGAAAAGGTCTGGAAAAAGAGCCTTTTCATGCCTTTTCCTTTTGGGCCTACAAGATTCAGCGGCTTCGAATCCCCAGCACTGCGAACGAAGGCGAGTCCGGGCACTTGGTGTCGCCCACCACCCAGATGGGCTCCGGCGGTGGGGGGCCCGCGGAGCGCTCCCGCGAAACCGGGCCCGTTTTGCCCTCCTAGGCCACAAAACGGAGCTAGTCACAAAGGCAGGTATCCATATCCGTGCCAATATACATATATATATATATGGCAGTATGTATATGCATATGTGCATGTATGTATATACCTGTATGGATGCATGTCATACATGTCTGTCCCCCTTGTGCAACCGCACGCGCATACACACACACACACACACACACACACACACACACA